CTCCTTATTGTTCTAATTTAGGAGGGATAGTCCCTATTTTCGTCATAAACCCCTCTGGTCCTCTTTTCTATAATAATGTCCCTCTCTTCTTGAAGCCCCATATGGTTGGTGTGCCAGAGTCTAGTGGTGTATTCTGTTTTTGTGCTGCCCTAGGCATGACAAAACTTGGGTACCTCCCTCCCCCTTCCAAATTTCTATTCCTGACAGTCACGTGCCCTCACTGATGCATGCACTGACATACTCTCACTTACACAGTCATTGTAACACATACTGTTTACCCTACACAAACTTTCACTGAAACACACATTCACAGTTACCGACACACACATACACTGACACTCACTGACAAAACACGCATACACACTCACTGACAGACGCATACACATACTCAATGACACACTCAGTGTCAAACACACATTCACTGAGACACACTCTGTGACCGCTACACACATTGACACACGCATACACACACATATATATACACACACACACTCTCTTTGACAGACACACACTCTAACTCACTAACAGACACATACAATAACACACTCACTAACACACACACACACTAGCGCACTTACAATTTTTGTTTGTTTTGTTCATATTTCAATCCACCCTGCGTTCCTACCTTTGGGAGTGCTGGAGTGGATTCTTCCCTGGGGTCTAGTGGGCTGGTTGCAGCTCTGTAGGCACAGCAAGCGGTGAGGGAGCTCTGATCCTCCTGCTCAGCAGACAAGGGAATGGTGGAGGCAGGCGGTGAGGGAGCTGAGATTCTCCTGCTCAACTCCCTCGCGTACCTCTTAATGATGCTGGGGTTGGAGTGACGTCATATTCTGGCTCCAGGATCACTGTAGTGCGCACAAGGGAGCTGAGCAGGGGAGAGCTCAGGAGAGATGCCTGCCTTAGCAGATGCCAGTCACAGGAGTCCCCAAGGTGGCCAGCCTGCCAGCTCCTGGGCCTCTCAGGACAAGAGACTGGCAAGGCATCTGCCAGGGCGGCTGAGGGTGGATTTATTTGCCACCCCCTGAAAGTGCTGACCAAGCCAAATGCCTTGTCAGCCTTGCGCTAAATACAATGCTGCCTGAGCCATATAACACAAGAATGATTCTCACAGTAATGTGTCTTTAAACAACAATAAATGTGTTTAGAAATCAGTCAGTGTAAATAAGTTCTTGTTCTAAATTACATTTTAGTTGTGTAAACACCTATTCTTAAGTTACTTAACCTTTCGTAAAATTAAAGTGTCCCAAGCACCTATCTTGAGGACAGCTTGCCCAGCCTGCAAATCTGGGACCAGGTAAAGGGTAAATTTGTACTGGGAAAGGATCCCTCACCTCTAACCCCAGTCCTCAGGAACCGAGCGTTCCCTCTGGGACTAACAGCCAGGGACTTCAGAGGTATAGAAGCCACAGGACTGCAACGATACCTACCCCTATACGTAAACAATCACATAGTCACCTTTGAACATCTCAACACTAAGGCCCCACTACAAACTAGGGACTATTTCTGGTACCTGCAGGGACTTCACCCGTACACCAGAGATCCAAATAGCAGCAAACACAAAGCTAACCTTCTTCGAAAAGCTCTGCTACGAGGAAACGACACAGACCAAACTAATTACGCTCCTATACCACAAAGCTCCATAACACCATGAGATAGAACAGATTTCGCTCCTATCAATCATTTCTCTGCATTGTAATCTATCATTTATTCACAATGTCGTCCGTATGGGTGGGTTTACTGCAAACGTGCATTTTGGTGTTCATTTCTGTAAGTTGATTAAAGGATCACTAGTGTCAGGAAAATAAAGTGGTTTTCCTGACACTATATAACCCTTGGGGGACATCCACCCTCAGGGTCCCCCTCCCGTGGCACTGAAGGTGTTAAAACCCCTTCAGCCACTTACTTTATTCCAGCGCCGGTGACCTCTCCTACCTCGCCGACGTCAGCTCCCTCTGCCGACGTCCGCGCAGCTGCATGCGTGGCAAGTGCCGCTCACGCATTCAAAGTGTCCATAGGAAAGCATTTCGCAACGCTTTTCTATGGACGCTCTGCGTGATGGACGCATAATATGCCTCCAGCATCGCAGATGCACCTCTAGTGTCTGTCTTCCTCTAGTGGCTGGCTTAACCCCACCTGTAAACATAGCAGTTTCTGTGAAACTGATATGTTTGCATCTCAAGGGTAAAAACCTGGGGGACCTGGCACCCAGACCACTTCATTGAGCTGAAGTGGTCTGGGTGACTATAGTGTCCCTTAACAACTTAGATGTTTTGTAACTACCTTCTTGAATTTAATTTCTCACATATACTTTATGGGATTTGTATCCTTATAATAACGGAACGCAGTAATATTTTAATTTAGAACTGGTTACAGTTTTGTATATTGTGACAGCCATCTGCATAGAAAGTGAGCTTTGTTTCCAACTAAAAAACAACTTTGGCTTCATTACACATACATAATATATAATCAGACATGTACCTTGCAATATTAAACTATAACCACACCCTAATTAATGTCTTGGAATCTGCAGATGTTAAAACATGAAAAATCACTATGTAAATGCATCCAAAACCACATAACACAGAGAAAATTATTTATATACTGATTTATGAAAGATATTTGTAAAAATATAATGTTTGTTTAGGTACGTATGTGTTAAAAAGTACATTATGGAAGTTAAAATAAAAAAAAAAAAATATGTATGCTGCACAGTATTAAGTATACTATATTCAACCATACTTTGGCTATACTTTACTATGTCACTTTTTTAGTATTATGTTTTTACTGATCCTTGTAAACATATCTATGAAGAGTGGAAAATTAAATTAAAAGGGACACTATAGTCACCAAAACAACTTTAGCTTAATGAAGCATTTTATTGTGTATATAGTACGTGCCCCTGTAGTCTTACTGCTCAATTCTTTGCTATTTAGGAGTTGAACCACTTTTTTATGCAGCCTTAGTCACACCTCCCTGCATGTGACTTACACAGCTTTCCTAAAAATGTTCTGTAAAGAGTTATCTAATGTTTATACTTCCTTTATTGCAAATTCTGTTTAATTTAGAATTTTTTATCTCTTGCTCTGTTAATAGATTGTAAAGCCTACATGCGTTTCTTGAGTGTAATTAAAGTTCCATTTACAGAGCAGTGGATAAAAACGTTTAAGTTACATCTGATTTGAAAATGAAACAATTTTATTTTAAATGTAGGCTGTGTCAGTCACAGCCAGGGGAGGTGTGGCTAGGGCTGCATAAACAGATACAAAAGTGATTGAACTCGTAAATGGCAGAGAATTGAGCCGTGAGACTTCAGAGGCATAAACTATACACAAAAACTGCTTCATTAAACTAAAGTTGTTTTGGTGACGACAATATTGTCCCTTTAAATTTATAAATTCCCACGTCTTTATTCCTGTCTTAGCTCCCTGTCAATCATTGTAGGCTCTGTCCTTTTGTTAGTCGTCATTGAGAGAGCATACAGAAAAGAGCAGAAATGGAACAATGGTTCACATTTTTATCGTGTGCCCTGGCTGTACCAAGACTGAGCCAAGTGTGATGTCATTTGAAAAATCCTTAATGTACATTTAAAAGAAAATGTAACTTGTGTTAACCTTCTTTATGATATGCTCTAAGTGATTTTCTGTGCTTTTTATACACTGGTGTAACGTTTTTAAGAAGTGACGGCGCCTCGTCAATTTCCATAGTATCAATATCAGTCATAAAACCAGTTAAAACAAAATAGAGCAAATAACCTGTAAACGTATGAAATCTCTGGTCCATCAGTGGTCCAACCGTATTCGGTCATTTTCTTTCTCAGGTGGAAAGAATTTCGGATGGCTCCCTCATATCGCTCTTGTCGTGTCTTAAAATAAAGATTCTCTCGGCTGAAAGCAGGGTCTCTGATAACAGCAAGCACTAAACAAACAAAAAAAATAATAAGAAAATTAAAAAGCATATTAAAGGTTAAAAAGGCACCTGTTCAAATTGGACTAAATATTGTCACATTTTTATAGCATATATTAAATTTTAGTAAACACATTGCATATGCTTTTGGCAAATGGAAACTGGACTTGCAAATGGGAAAACGCAAGACTATCCCCATTTCTCCAACTTGTTTATTGTGGTTTAAAGAAAATATGGCATAAAATACCTAATGGTGTAGCGCTCAGAAATAATGTCTGGCCCGTTGGGTACCAAGTTTACCCCCGCAAAGTATTGAAGTGTACTCGAAGATACATAAAATGACAAAAAAAACAAGGCAAAAAATAATAGTGCAGATGGTCTAAAAAAGTTATAATCTAGTGTTAAACGAAAAGCTACACTCATGTTCTGGAGCCTTTATAGTATAGGCTCCGTAAAATGGACCTTTTTGTTATTAGGGCATCAACACACCACCACTCTCACCTTATCGTCTCCTCCTCAGGGGATATAGGAAGAAAAAACAACCAATGTGTAGTATTGTAAAGTGGTGAACTTAAATCTAATGGGAAGTATTAAGCTCACCTTTGTTAGAGCCTTCAAATCCAAAGGGTAATATGCAAAGTGCCAATTTTCTGGGGATGTCACCACCCCAATGAAGATTCCCCTAAGGCTTCAGAGGACTTTGTTGGAATAATATTAAAAATGTATTACAGATTAAAACACACACACATATATATATATATATATATATATATATATATATATATATATATATATATATATATATATATATGTTATGGTGGGGAAAAATTGTGATTGAAAACCCCTTCCACCTGAAGTATGTGGATAGTTAATACAATGCTAAACAAAAATCTGCACACCAGTCAAGCCATAAGACTTGTTTTTCCCACAGAAATCCCAAATCAGCAGTGATGTTACAACCGCAAAGGATTCTGGGTGGGCATATGCAAATTAGTTTAACAAAGAATCACATTTTTGCCTCATTCCATTTTAAACATGGATTCCTTTTAATCTGTGTTTGCAGTATACAACTACTTGGAACACAATTTAGGAAAAGATGCAAAACCAGTGAACCACTCATGGACAGCTGTTTCGTTGTTAATGCAACTCTTCAGCATGAGGTTGGTTACTGGTTTGCTTGTTGAGGCTTGGTAGTGCTTGGGAAGCAAAATCTAAATAGGTTATGGTGGGGAAAAATTGTGATTGAAAACCCCTTCCACCTGAAGTATGTGGATAATTAATACAATGCTAAACAAAAATCTGCACACCAGTCAAGCCATAAGACTTGCTTTTCCCACAGAAATCCCAAATCAGCAGTGATGTTACAACCGCAAAGGATTCTGGGTGGGCATATGCAAATTAGTTTAACAAATATATATATATATATATATATTGCTATAGAAAATAAAAAAGTGGTTCTAGCTTTACATTTAACACAAGATTATAACTTTTATGTACCATCTGCACTATTATTGTTAACCTTGTTTTTTTTTGTTGTTGTCATTTTATGTATCTTCGCGTACACTTACTATTTTATGTATTGTGGATAAAAGGGTATCCTACATTAAGTGTTGAGCTGCTCATCACGAAGACCCTTTATTGTATCACATACTACCTTCTAGTAGAGGTATTTTTTTTTTTTTTCATATCTTCCATTACCTTCAAATCACTGTTTATTGAACATGTTTCTATGTAATTAGAGAAACTCTATACTTGAGCACAGGGCAATGACATGCCTCCATTTTCCTTTTCTATTCTTGTTTAATGAATAACCTTGGTAGCATTATTTATTAAACATCAGATTACAGTGTTGTAAAACCCACATTGCAAAATTCACGAATTTAAAAGATTTTCAATGCGGCTATAATCACAGCCTAGAAATGTTACCATGAATCCTTTAGTAATGGAACCTAGCTTGATATTGAAATGACAAAATACACTCAAACAGATTGCATTGACCACCACATTTTGTTGCCATGGCAATTCTACCTGTTCTTAACTCACTACTAATCATACCACAGCTCCCATCAGTGAGTAGTTTGCAAAGAGTGATAGGAGTTGCCTAACTGGAACATTAACTTGGGAAGTAATCTTCTGCATTAACACATGGGTGTTCTGAGGGCTGAAAATCAGATACGCAGACAGGCAGGGTAATTACAACATTCACTAATGATGTAATTCACTGCGCTGCAGAATATGTTGGCGCTATATAAATAATGATAATTAAAATGAGTTACACTCACCAACTGATCTCCGCAGACGTGTCTCATCTGCAGATCCATCCAGCACATTAGTGAGAGTTTCCACATTAAAAGAAGGGGATTCCCTCTCACTTGCAAGTTCAGGATTAACATCTCTGCCTGCGTTTGCTTTAAACCAAGCCATGGTGGATTTCATGCACTCTGCCTTCCTGGGTTGTGATCACTGAACACTATAGCTCTTAACTAAGGATAACTATTGGCTGGTGTGAGGAGGGGATGTTTCCTAGGGATTGTGAAACACCCTGGGGGTGTGCAAGTCTGGTTTTTGCACTCCCTTAACCCCTCCCATGTACAGACCTATGACTCAGAGCTAAGGTCACAACAATGAGCTATGTTTAGCAAACTGGGTGAGAAGTAACACATTCTAGATATAAAAGAGATATCTGATAAATGTTTGTCTATCTAATCATCTTTAAGGTTAACGTTTATGTGACTGTTACTTTGTTGCATTTTGTATTAACCCCTTAAGGACTGAGCCAAATGTACAAGTTCTGACCAAATTAAAAACAAAACAAACGATAGAATTTGAGCTATATGTCTGCTCAAACGTAATTGACCTCTTTGATATTAAGTGCACCCACACTTGTTACGTATCATTTTTCACAGGAGAAATAGGGCTTTATATACGGAACATAACTGGAAATAAAACTGAGAAAGTTAGATATTTTCCAAGTTGTGCATAACATTTTAACTGTGACTACCATAAAAGTGTTTTGATTTTATTTATTTTCCCCCCCCCCATAAATAGTTTATTGGCATTTTCAAGCAGAGGTCCATACAGCTGAACATCGTGAATGCTTCAATAATCAGTACATTCTCAAGCAATTCGGTTACACTGTTAAAACACTGCCTTTTTAGCAAAGAGAAATATAAAGAAATTAAAATCAAGTAATCAACAAAAGAATCCATGAGAGAATCATTGTAGTGCACTGTGATTTGTATACCAGTAGAAGAGATCGTACTGTACTGTTACTGCACTGTCACCTGGCACATTCCAAGCGAGTCCCAAGTAGAGATGTCGCGAACTGCTCGCCGAACTGTTCGCGAACTGTCCGCCGGCGAACAATAGCGTGTTCGCGTTGGGCGAACATATGCGATTTCCGGTCCGCCCCCTATTCGTCATCATTGAGTACACTTTGACCCGGAACCTCACAGTCAGCAGACACATTCCAGCCAATCAGCAGCAGACCCTCCCTCCCAGGACGTGTTTGCTGACTGTGAGGTTCCGGGTCAAAGTGTACTCAATGATGACGAATAGGGGGCGGACTGGAAATCGCATATGTTCGCCCAACGCGAACACACTATTGTTCGCCGGCGGACAGTTCGCGAACAGTTCGGCGAGCAGTTCGCGACATCTCTAGTCCCAAGGCGTCTGCTTTGCACTATTTTGTTTGTATTTCTCACAAGGCGCCCTGATAAGTGTTCGCTTTTACCGCAATAAAACACACATACTTGTATGCTGTGATGTCTCACAACTACAACAATGCCCATCGTGTAGAGGTTTTATGGTGTTTTGGAAGGTTACAGGGTCAAATAAAGAGCTTGTCCGTTTCTCATTTTTTACACATTGAGATTTGCCAGATTGGTTTGATGGGTCTATGTTGCCTTTAAAACTGTATGGCAGCCCAGGAATTAAAATTAAACCCATCATGGCATGTCATTTGCCAATGTAGACAACATTTATATTTGGCTTATTTTTTTGCATGTGTCACAAAAAAACTGCCATGTGAAATGGAAGCCCTGTCTTTCCTGAACAAAATGATATTGAATATGTGTGGGTAATATGAAAGAGGTGAATTCTGGTTGAACAGGCATATAGTCAAATTCTAGGTTTTGTTTTGATCAGAATTCTTACAATTGCCTCTGGCCTTAAGGGGTTAAAAATAATGTATTAAAAAGTAAACACACACACATTTAAATATTGAAGTGGCATGTACATTTTTAAAACGGAACTTCCAATATTAAAAAATACCTGTATTCTGTTTTTTAGCAAAGACATTGGAATGCTAATAATGTCCCCAGAATTCTTCCCCGTTCAGTCACATTTCCACTGGAAATCCTCATCCTCTAATGCTGTCTAACTACAATTGGTTGCGTGTTTAATTTTGGGCTCTCTGGAGTTGATTTTTAAACACCAGCAGGGACAAATTGTTAGACGGTTGGGCACCAGATAACAGATTCCGCCTGGCAACTTTGGCTTTTTTGATACTTTTGATACTTAAATGCTTTCCTATGAACTGGCTGAATGCGCGCGCGGCTTCTGCCACGCATGCGCATTCAGCCGATGACGTCGCTAGGTAGGAGGAGGAAAGCTCCCCGCCCGGCGCTGGAGAAAGGTAAGATTTTAACCCCTTCCTCTCCCCAGAGCCCGGCGGGAGGGGGACACTGAGGGTGGGGGCACCCTCAGGGCACTATAGTGCCAGGAAAACGAGTATATTTTCCTGGCACTATAGTGGTCCTTTAATAATTTTATAAATCATTTTTTTTTATTGAGATGAGAGCTTATTACAGACAGACATTTTACCAGCATTATCCGTATATTTGGAATAATGATTATCTCAGATAATTCTGGGTGGGTAACAGACATCTATTTTTTTTTTTTTATTCTTTTTTTAGAATTCTAAGAATAGCCAATTAACTAATTGTTGGGCTAGGTTTAACATAAGATTAATGCTGTACAGAACTCTAAGATAGTTACTCATAGAGTAGCACTCTGGTCAAAGATCAAACAATCTAATATCTTTTCCATGGACTTAGCAGTGCATTGAGTAAGATAAAAGAAATATAGGAAAAAAACAGATAAAAGGAAAACCTCCACAGCAAAATGAACTGCGTGCAGAGGAAGTGTCCCGCAAAAACTGTCTGACTCCATGCGGGTATAAGCACCATGCTCCTCATTCATGGTGCTCTGAATTTTACAACATGACAGGAGGCTTCATATTTTGCATTAACTTTCTTTACTAACTCCATAGCAGCAAAGAAAAAAACCAAAAAACTGTAATAAAAAAAATAAAGATCCAATCAGAGTGAGTCAGAGTATATATAAGTCCAAGCATGACCCTTCATTTCCTCTTTCTTTGCTGCTCCATCACAAGTCAGGTCAGAGTACTAATTTCGTAACTGTCAATTTTCAAATGTATTATAATCTTATAGTTAAAGAGACACTGTACTATCTTTCAATGTGTCATATTTCTGATGTATTTTATATGTATGTATATTTATAGACTGTATAGCAGCATTAGAATTATTTCATTATTATTATTATCTTATTGTGTTTATGTTACTGTCCTGGAGGTGGCAGGGGATCCCTTATTATTTAATACCCATTGGGCTGTTAACCGTTGGAGGGGTTAACCCCTCTCCCTCCAGTAACGGAGAATAAATATAATCTCTGTGCTGTATTGTAGCTTGTGAGACTTAGATAGACAGGAATAGCAAGGTCAGTATGTCCAGATTATGGAATATTGGATAGCATTTTTCCATGTGATATTTTTATTCTCTTTTCATTAGAAGCCTCTTCTGAGGCAACAGCGTTTCCCCTTTCTTCCCTCCCCCCCCTCCTTATGGTGGCTACGTTCGCTACTTTTACTCCTTTCCCGCACTGTAATCTGTGCATACAGAGCGGGCAGTCACTCTGTTCGCGCACTGCAGGGCACGAACAGACGTCTGACTGACTCTCCCACCTGTTCGCACTATATTTGTGCGAACGGAGCAGACAATTAATGTTCATGCCTTTCTACACGAACGGGCCGACCAAGCCCACCCATTCGTCTAGTTTTGCACAAACCGTTTATTTATATGAATTCCGTCCGTGAATTCAACATGCGTTCGGCAAAACGAACAGCCGTTTGTTACTTTTCTGCCGCATGCTATAAGCAGTATCTGTATACTCACCTTCCCCATGAACGGTTTTCGCAGGCTTTTTTCCTGTCAGCTACCCCGGGTCTCTCGTGAGACCCGTGGCAACCATTTTTGTTGGTGTAGTTTTGGCGGAATACCACACTCATCACGATAAGGCAAACCGGCTGAGGATTTTCTACAAAAATGACCAGAGATGATTCCAGTTTTCTCACAGGGACCTTCACAGGTTGGTTTGACTACCCCTGGGGA